TATATATATATATATAAATTAGACAAATTGCGTAAAATTATCAATTTCTATAAATAATAAAACTGAAAGTTTTTAACATTTTATTTCAGTTAACATTTATTTCAATTAATGTAATTCAATTTTTTTTTTAGAGTAGATACTCAATTTAGTTGTAGTTAACAATAACAACAGTGTGCCAGACTAGTGTTTGTGACTAGTTTTAAGGTCTGTAGAGGTCAGTCATTGATTTATTGGTCTGTATTTCTCCCTCAGACTCGCAGCGAGGCGGCCATGACGGTTTTGAGCGGTCACGTGGTGGTTTGTATATTTGGCGATGTAAAGTCGGCTCTGATCGGTGTGCGGAACCTGGTGATGCCTCTGAGAGCCAGTAACTTCCACTATCATGAGCTGAAGCCCATCGTGTTCGTGGGCTCTCTGGAGTATCTGAAGAGAGAGTGGGAGACGCTACACAACTTCCCCAAAGTCTCCATCTTACCCGTGAGTGGACGCCTGTCTCTCTGTTCAACCCATGATGCGTTTCTGACGTGTGTCTCCTGTTTAGGGAACTCCACTGAGTCGGGCCGATCTGAGAGCCGTCAACATCAACTTGTGTGACATGTGCGTCATCCTTTCAGCCAATCAGAACAACATCGACGATGCTTCTCTGCAGGATAAAGAATGTATTCTGGCGTCTCTCAACATCAAGTCCATGCAGTTTGATGACAGTATTGGACTCCTGCAGGCCAACTCTCAAGGTAAAGACAGGACCGCAGGTGCAGAGTCAGCACCGTCTCGTCCCCGGCTCAGATTTTTTATTTTTTTCTGGTGAAAGAAATACACAAATGAAGAAGAAAGCCAACATATTAAATTTCATGGGTGTATAATAACGGAGTAATCCACTATTTTGTAGAGGTGGGTCAAAACCTAAGGGGTTTCACCTGAGATTCGGAGCCAAATTACAGGGGGTAAAAATGACTTCAGAAAGCTGGCAGCATCATTATATTATTTTTACACAGAGATTGGTAGCTCTATTAGTAACATGTGTTGACGTTAGTAATCTTTGTTGCGATATATGGCGATGGTGACCATTCAAACATGGGGAAAAAACACTTCTTGTGTTTTTTTCCTGAAGTTTGCAAGCCTGTAACTCAAGAAGCATTACAGATATCTTAATATCCTTTTAGATTTTAGTTCTTAACAAACTTTTCTTTTGGTATCGTAATTTTTAAGGCCCTATATGGTTCATTTTCAGAGATGTAGGAATTTCAATGTGGCTCCTTGAGTAATTTGTTTAAATTATATGGCACTCAGACATGGATGTTCTATGCAATTAGATAGATGGATGATCTATTTTTTGATAGATGGAAAGAAGATACATTTATAGTTTCAAAATTATTTGTACTTCAGACATTCCACTTTAAATTCAATACGTATCATATTTTTGCAAAGTGATCAACATTTGGTTTTTGACCACTGAAAATGTGTACAATTTACTCCCGGAGCCACATTTAGATTCTAATATCTATGGCACTGAACCATATAGAGCCTTAAGAAAATGAAGATACCAAAAGAAAAGTTTGTTAATGCCCACAATCTAAAAGGGCATTAAGGTAACTTCAATACTTCTTGAGTTACAGGCCTACAAACCTAAGAAAAAAGCTTGAAAAGTGCTTTTTCCCCCCATTTTTGAATGGTCATCATTGGCATATAATGAAACAACGATTGCTAAAGTCAACAGATTTTACTAACAGAGCAACCAATCTCTGTGTAAAAATAATATAATGATGCTGCCAGCTTTCTGAAGCCATTTTTACCCCCTGTAATTTGGCTCCAAATCTCAGGTGAAAATGTAATTTTGACCCCCTCTACAAAATAGTGCATTACTCAGTTAATTTACACCCATGACATTTAATATTTTGGCTTTCATCGCTATTTATGTTTGTCTTTCTTGAGAAAAAATATGAACAAAATAAAAAATTGGAGCTTGGGAAGTTTCTGAAATGTGGTTGACGCTGTATTCATGTATTTTTGTGCTCTGCTCCAGGCTTCACTCCTCCTGGAATGGATCGCTCGTCTCCGGAGAACAGTCCCGTACATGGATTGGTGCGGCAGGTGTCCATAACCACCGGAGCAAACATTCCCATCATCACAGAGCTCGGTGAGACTCATATTACACTCACATTTAAGCACAAATTAATACTTTTATTCAGCAAGGGCGCATTAAATTGCTCAAAAGTGACAGTAAAGACATTTATAATGTTACAAGATTTCTATTTCAAATAAATGCTGTTCTTTTGAACTTTCTATTCATCTGTGAATCCTGAGAAATAAAATGTATCACAGTTTCCACAAATATATTGTGCAGCACAACTGTTTTCAACATTGATAATAATCAGAAATGTTTCTTGAGCAGCAAATCAGCATATTAGAATGATTTCTGAAGATCATGTGACACTGAAGACTGGAGTAATGCAAATCAGCAAATTAGAATGATTTCTGAAGATCATGTGACACTGAAGACTGGAGTAATGATGCTGAAAATTCAGCTTTAATCACAGAAATAAATTACATTTTAACATATTCACATAGAAAACAGCTGTTTTAAAATTCAAATAATATTTCACAATATTACTGTATTTACTGTTTGTTTTTTTCCTCAAATAAATGCAGCCTTGGTGAACAGAAGAGACTTCTTTCAAAAACATTAAAAAAAAAACACTATAATAAGGTCCCATTAGTTAAAGCTGCAGTCTGTAACTTTTTTTGGTTAAAAATGATCCGAAATCAATATTTGAGCCAGCCAGTGTTCAAAACTATCACCTTATTTTAGCCCGATTCACAACGGTTAGCTTATAATAATATTTTCTAATTTGAGTGGTACGGGTAGGTTTTCGTGGGGAAATTCGAGCATGGCATTGCGTACGTCACGTCTGTAAACATAAAGAAGTTGTCCCGGCTACTAGGCTATCGCATGTGAGGATCCTGCAGGTGGCGGATCGTTTAGCCTTTTCTCACAGCAGCCGGAATAATTAAATTTATCATTTTGATGGCAGATTGTAATCCAGAA